AGTTTTGCGACAAAAAAATCCGCCGTATCCCCTCCATCAATAAGAGTGACGGGAGCTGGGCGGGGCCCAAGTCGCCCGCGGCCACCTCACTTAGGCTCTGCACCCCTTTCGCGAATGTACTCTCTCATCAGTTTTCCACCATTAGCGTTGGAGAGGCACTTTGGTCGCTAATAAGCTCGTGAAAATGATTAGAGAGCACACTCGCGAGAGTTGCAGAGCCCAGGCGAGGCTGCCGCGCAGTACGCTTGCCCCACCCAGCACCAGTCACTTCCAGTGTTACAGATGGTAACTAGTACAACATACTTGAGCTTCCTGTTCCAAGCGTGCAATGAGACGGCCATTTTTTGGAATGTGGACTTTTCCGTCGCGCAAATAATCTAGGATGTATTCGAACAATTTCGGGTCACGGTCGATGAATTTTTCTTTGCCGGGCTGCAAGTATAAATAAGTTTGTGCAATAGCTGTTTAGATTGACTCACCGGAAAACGCATTCCATTGAAAATACTCCAATCGTTTGGGCCTGGACTGTTCCTCAGCGCATACGTTGTGGTGTAGAACCTTTTTCCGCCAACATTCAATACCACACGATACACCATCGTAAATTCTGAAATTCAGAGCGTAGAAGCACTGATTAGACAAATCTTGACATTAGGGTTTCTCACGTGAAAGCTGTGGGCCCTTAACTAAAACATTGCCTAGGCGGCAGCGCAGATGAATCATCCTTTATGGGTAAGAATTTTCTTCCAACGCATGTAAGAAACCCCGTACGTCCAGACTCGTTTAGAAACTATTAAGCAACTCATGACCCGCAAACACTACGAGATAAAAGAGGTTGGGGCACCCATAACTGGTAAGACACAAGTGAATCTGCACTGGAAATGCTTCACTAGTGCAGATGTCCACGCGGGACCGACTCGTAGTGACATAACCTCTTTCCCCAACCACGACGGCCGCACCAAATGTCCATTTTAAAAGTTTTTTTTAAGTGTTCGGTAAAGGAGAATAGCAGAACTGACTGATATGGTGTATAGACAGATATAATTGGCTCGTGCCACATGCCTGAGGCATGAGTATTGTGCTTCAAACTGCATACAACTGCCTGATAATAAACACGCTTTCCCAAGAACTATTGTCGCCAACGATACTTTTGACTTCCAGCGGACCAACCAATAAATATTCTTACCTTTCGGGCGAATCTGATTTCGAATAGAGTCGAGTACCTCAAACACTTTCATATGTTATTCTCGCGACCGCAGTTTTAAAAACCTTTTTGGAAAGCACATCCTACCAAATGTGACTCAATCTCCTACCGTATACTTACCGCAATCGCACAGAGTGGTATTCTTGTGTGAAAACGGCACTGAGTTCGTGATTTGAACGATAGCCTTTGTCCATTTAATAAGCAAGAATTTTTGATCACACGATCAAACTGATCATCATCAGTTTAAAGGTCCATCCACCCAAAGTCGACTTCCATGTTTTCGTCGTTCCGAGGCCTTCTCATGTCCGTGACTTCGAATATCAAATAGTTCCGCAGAGCCTGCAGGGCGACTGCGCCGTAATGGTGAGGGTAACCACTCAAGAGTGATTTAACTTGCTGTCACAAATGTTTAGCTAAGAAAGGCACCTAAGCTGGCGGTTGCGAAACAGGTGGTGCAGGAGGAACCAAAGAGCTGCCGCCTGTATCCGCAGGAGATAAATAAGAGCGCAAGAGCTGCTTCCAAGGGAAGGATACCATATATTAGGTTGATGCATAATTCTTGCACCAAAATTTTAAAAATTCTGTTACTTCATCCAGCTGCGATGAAATCTTCTGGTTCGATACATAGTAGAGAGAGCAAATCTTGCGCTTTCTGAGGTGCTCGAGCCAAAAGTTCTTGAGGGCATATGGCAACGATACAAGGTGAATATGAAAATTACCCAAAAAGTGATTTTTCAATTTTTAGTCACTAAATTTGCTAAAATGTCTATTAGAATTTAAATTCATTTTTGGTGCAAGTTTTATGGCATGCTCCTTTTAAGTAAGAGAAGTTGGTAGCGATTGGATGTCTCTGCGAATATTTACGCATTTCGATTTTTTTGAAATGAATTATCGAGTTGTTTCAAATTGATTTTCTCAAATGTACTATAAAATACTAATTTTTTATACATAACATTGAAAAGAACATGTAGAATAGTTTTTTAAGCATTTTTAAAATAATTTTTTGTATATTTTGGTGCAAGAATTGTGCATCAACCTAATATAATATTAGTTGGCAATTGAAGATGAAATGTATATCATTAGATGCGCCTTTGAATGCTGATTCCAAATCTGCTCTCCTTTTTTGCAAAACAAATTTTTGAAAGAAGTTATGAGCGTTTAATGTTCAGATTCGCCCATTGAGTGGCTTAAAACCAGCGAAAAGCTCTAAAACAACACCTTTGCGATTTCCACCGGCTTTGCTCCCTTCTTGCAAACAACCTACTCGATAAGAAAATTATTTTCCACTTTTCGGTGTCTTTGGACAGTTTTTCGCCAACTTTGGACCACCTAAACCTTGACAAATTCGGACATTTGAACGCCACAACTTCCTTAGGAAAATTATTCCGCAAAAAAGGAAAGCAGATTTGAAATCAGCGTTCAAAGGCGCGTCTAATGATATACATCTAATGATATACATCTCATCTCCAATCGCCGACTAATGTTGGTATCCTTCCCTTGTTAGTATATTTTGGCAAGGATCCAAGAAAATCTTAGAGGACATCATTCAGAAACAAATCTTCAAAACTTTGCTTGGAGATATCATAACTTTGAAAAATTTGAAAAACAGATTTGTAACAAAAATTGGAAAACACATTCGTTGAGCTTGAAAGTAAATCACAATTCGGTATTGTAGTAGTAGGGAATTGACTTCCCTATAGAAACTACTCGTCTCAATTTGAGAATTCAAATTCTGAAGGCCATGGTTTGCATTCAGAATCTAATCTTTCTCCCATAAAATAAAGAAACAATTTACTTTTTGAGTCAATTAACAAACTCGATTGAAATGTCATAGAATAAAATCTGGAGGCTTGTGTAAAGATGCAATAAGGAGTTTCGTCTCATAATTTTCAGACTTAATTTGGTTCCAGATTTCGAGACTACGAGATTGCATGTACTTCAACAGCGAGACTGTGTCGGTGAACTTTCGAGATTGTATATGGAACAAAAGCTTATCGATTTAATTGAGGCTGAAACTTTCGCCTCCGACTACTAACTTTCTAACTTCAAACGGTCCCCAAATTCCTCACTGAAAAGTCTACTCAAAATCCATTATCAATGAATCTGAAATTCCTCACTATGCCAAGATTTTGAAAGCCTTCAGTTCATCTCTGATAAAATGAAGACTGAATAGCGAAGAGGTTTTTATCTATAGCATAGCGTGCACTGAAAAGTGCACCGTTCGCTGATTTCAGTTCTGTTTCACAGACTATTCTAAGTCAATTCCAAGCAGAAAGTTTGTTTTTTCCAACGGATATCCTTGCCAACTTTCCTGGATTTTTGCCAGAATCTTCTCCACACTGCTGGCGCCCTTATCTCTTGCAGTTATATGCGGCAGTCCTCTGGTTCCTCCGCATCCTTGCGAAATCAATCGGTTTCTCCATGGTATGTGTTTATGATGACGTCACCGATGTTGACGTATGTAGTGCAGAGAGACTCGACTGCCAAATTACCAGCCTCTTGTACGAAACACATCCAGACTCAGCTTCCATGTCAGCAATTCCGACGCCTCACAATGACAATTCACCTCAGACATTGAGTTGAAAGGTCACGAGAGGCCGAAAGAACAGCAAAACCCCCGCACACTGCACGGAACCGCACAGCGTCCGTGCAGTTTCGCACGACGCCGACAACAGGAAAGTGCTCCCCCTCCCCCACGTGCCACCGCGAGGGATCCTCGTCATCGCTGTGATTGGCCGGATGCGCACGGCCAACGTGCCGAAACGCCATCTGAAGCGACCCTTGAAGCAACTTCTTCGTCCCGAAAGCGACTGGCAGCGCGGGTTGGGCAAGTAAATGATCGGGGGCTGCGCTAATGGTAGGCATACTAGATCTCATCGAGCCCATTTGGGTGGACAGTGCCTATGAGAAAAACCGCCAGAAGAAAGGCATTCTCTACACCAGTCGAAAGCCACAGAGCTCCTTTCGAGGGGTCATCCAAATTCCATAATTAAACGATTTTCGGTTCGACCTCCACCATAAGTTGCTAAGTTGCTATACATTCAACCCCTCAAAAACATCTACTAATGCACAACAAACCCTTGATTTTAAAGTTTTAGGAAATTTACGAGTAATCGTATAAATGGATTTGCAATGAACAAGCGAAGCAACGGAGTGAGAGGAAGAGCGTGAGAAAGAGAGAGACAACAGAGAGACAGAGAGACGTTGAATTGCGAAAGGCCGACGGCGAGTCACGTGAGGCCATGTCATGGGAGTACTGTAGCCATGTAACCCTGCTACTGACACACCTGCGAAGGTTCCATTCTTTCGCATGCTAGATGAATCACTAAAGTTCATTTGAAGCCTACATGTGCAGTGATCATTCGCGTGGTCCACATTTGTTCTACCCCATACACCGAGGCATGCTGAAGCAAATTACGTAAAAGACAAACGGAAAGGAAGTGAGTGGTCGTTACCATTACGGAACGCTGGAGCAGCTGAAGGCGAATCAAGGCACTGTCACGAAGAGACCGTAGTTCCATTTATTTTTTTATTTTTTCAACACTTTCATAGGCGATACTGAATTATTCGATATTCGATACTGAATCGAATACTTAAGTGTGCAAATCGAGCCATTTTGTCTAGCAGGGATGAAAACAACTGGCAGCATCAAATTATTAAGGTGTCGCTATCCAAACATCAAAAGAGATGCAGACAACAATTATTTAGGGAACACGGTCGGACCACAGCTAGAAAACTTCAACCTGGGTGGTGGAGGAGATCAGCAAGATTCATGGGAAAATCTGCATTTCGTTCTCTTTATTATTTCGCAAACTGAGTTTTGCTTGTTCAGCACTCATAGCACATTGGCTAGCAACCCGTATCTCCCTAATCAGGGGTGTATGTCAAAGGGCGCGGTTTTTATTCCCAGATGGACACTAATTAGCGCGTCTTTAGTGTTTAATAACGTTTTAAAGGACTTCCAAGTTTCTTAGGAGGCATGGATCGTTGTCAGGGCTGTTCAATCTTGTTCTTAAAATAGGTTCGAAACATAAATGTTGGAGGTCAAAAACCTGCGAAAATGCACTAGTCCCTATTTCGTGAATGTTTCGAATAGTTTTTTGCCTAAAGTCATCAGACCTAGCAAATGGTAACTTCGGACAATTAGTAAACTAGAACGCTTTACCTGGCATTTTTGAAGACACGTAACCCTGAATTGAGTTGTTGTATTGGTGACCTCTGAAGAATCGCACTCTTTGACGACGTACAGTATTTGGCCAAACTTCCAAAGGCCGAAAGTTAATGCGCTCCAAACAAGATCCCCACTAGAGCGCCAATCTTGTTCGGAGCACCTTATTTCCGGCTTATTTTCTGCCGGCTATTCTATTAAGATAAAAGTAACAACTTCTTCTTTCA